GCGGATCCTCTAAACATAAATGTGGCCAGTTGCACCTTCTGTTCAGTGGTCACTGTGATCGCTTCGAATAATTTTTCGGTCTCCTTTATCCAGTCTTCCGCCACCAAGGGATCGGTACTCCCATTGAAAGCAGGAGGGTTTAACCTTCGATACTTCTCAATATTGCTGGTGTCCACCACACCCTGGTGAATCCCCGGTTGTGGGACCGAGGTTGTCTCAGCCCGTAGTTCTCTATCTCTGATCACTGTGGCCAGACTCTCCACCACTCTACACAGTCGGTTGAAGTCTTCCTGTTGTACCCCAGGCAGTCCCGTCTGGTTTACCGCTGGGCCAGGCGCGGGCCTCGGTTGTGTGGGAGGGGGCACCGCTTGATACGGGGGTGGCCCGTAAAATGCTGGGAGTGGTACCTGGGGACACCCAGGTGGTCGTTGTGGAATCCCCGGTGAGTCCCGCAACCCCGGGACAGCTCCGCGACGGGGTCGGCCCCGTCCTTTCTTCGTCACCTCCCTTGACACACCTGCAGGATAGTTATACCAGTTAGTAGGTATACTTAGTTTTGCTCTGATACCAACTGTAACACCCCGTTTTTTTTTTCTTAACGGTGTACGATAAAGCACTCATACAACACAATACCGAAATCCATATTATTCCAACCATGCACAAGAGAAATTGGTCCACCTTCCATGTTCCAAATCAATTGTACATACATCTCCACCTCTACAGCACATAGTAATACAATATCAAACATTCCTAGATATTCAATATCCAGACTAAACCATCCTTTCAAACTACTTTAAATCACAAACAAAACTTGTGCCCTATGGCACTACCGACGGGGCTCCGTTACCAGCCGCTCGGATCCCAATTCCGTTCTTACTCCACCAAGTTATCGCTGCAAACCCCGACCAACCACCTTCATTCCACGTCACCAATATCGGCGACTCATACCCATATCTCCACCTCTCGACCTAATAGGCCACGCACCCACCCACACACCATTATTCCGCGTCACCAACATCGGCGACTCACACTCACTCCTCCACCTCTCGACCCAAAGAGGCCACACACACACACGAATACCATCGCCTCGCGTCACCAACATCGGCGACTCATGCTCAATCCTCCACCTCTCGACCTAAAGAGGCCACACACACACACAAATACTATCGTCTCGCGTCACCAACATCGGCGACTCATGCTCAATCCTCCACCTCTCGACCTAAAGAGGCCACACACGCACACAAATACCATCGTCTCGCGTCACCAACATCGGCGACTCATGCTCAATCCTCCACCTCTCGACCTAAAGAGGCCACACTCACACACAAATACCATCGTCTCGCGTCACCAACATCGGCGACTCATGCTCAATCCTCCACCTCTCGACCTAAAGAGGCCACACACACACACAAATACCATCGTCTCGCGTCACAAACATCGGCGACTCATGCTCAATCCTCCACCTCTCGACCTAAAGAGGCCACACACACACACACAAATACCATCGTCTCGCGTCACCAACATCGGCGACTCATACTCACTCCTCCATCTCTCGACCTCGTTGGGCCACGCACACACACAACATTTCCACCTCCCGTCACCACCATCCGTGACTCATGCACCCTTCTACCCCTCTCGGCCTTGCTAGGCCACACTCACATACATATCCCCTCCCTGCTCCACCAACATCGGCAACTCCACCCTCCCCTACCAACGGCCTCCCAATTCCCCCTCCCAAACCGCATGCTCCCATCTCTCCTTATACCATGCTAGTCCCAAGCGTTCTAACTTGCTAACTCCTACTGACCACATTACTCCCCTTCTCCCATCCAATCCCCCTCAAATCCGGTTTCCTAGTCCCCACTGCCGTACCTTCCAGCTCCCTTCCCTCTCCCACTGCCCCCTACCCGCTACCTCCCCCATCCTCCTGCCTCCTCCCGGTTCCTATACACTTTTGCCTACCTAGGGCGATTAACCTCTCAGCTTGCACCGTTTCACACCACATACACGCCCTCACCACCGTGCATTTCGGGGAAACACATCACCGCCTATTAGCGACTCCCTCCACATCCTCACCCACGCACACACCACGCACACACCTCTTCTGTTCTCTTGAGTTTTTATCCCACCCGCGCCTCCTAGATTATTCTCTCACATCCTCCTCACTCTGTTCTACCCGCACCACCCCCATCCTTCCCCACGGCTCCCCACACGCCTCCAACACCGCCATACTTTCCATTCCTTCCCCGATCACCTCCGTGAGCGCGCGGGACAACCCCACGCTTACGGCCTACCTTCACTGCTCCACTCCGTCGCGCCATTGCCGACGCCGCACCTGCACAAAATTCTCTACACACACACACCACACCAACAGCTCAAATTTTCACCGTACCTCCCGTTTCCATCTTCCTTCTTCCTGCCGGTCGCGTCGTCCGTCCACGACCTCCTTCCCTCTCCCTTCTCGCTCCCCTCCGCCCCGACTCTCTCCTCTCTCCTTCTGGAACTTTCTCTCTCTCGTCTCTGCTCTCTCTTCCTCCTTTCTCTTTT